ACAGTGAATTCTGTAACTCAAAATTACAAACTGGACAGTAAATGTTCCACTTTTCACTCGTTTGTAAAAACCGCTCTTGCTTTAAAAGACGCAATTGTTTTCGGTCTTCAATTCCTCACAGGTCACGTGGTACAGTTCCCGTTCTATTAGTGTAGAATTCTGTGGCTCAAGCAGACCGCTTTCTTCTGGTTGCCGGTCACAGTTTTGTTTGAAAAAATTATCTTGAACTAGTCAGCATGGACTGTAGTGCCAACGGGGACTGGCCAGTGATGAATAAACATGATGTACACCTCTTTCAAAGCGCTTTGCTTGAGTCGAGCGTTCTGGGGGTCTTTTTGATCCTGGGTTTCTCCATTCTGCTGATTGTCTTTCCAGTACTGGATTGCATGAGTACATCCATATTTCATCACCTGTGAGGATTCTTCTAAACGGAAATGCCTCTATATTCCTTGGGACTTTCATTTCTTCCTCAAAATCAAAGACGGACTAAGGGGGAAGCTACTTGAAGACGAGGAAGAAATATTAAGGACTATGACCGCTGAGGGCATGGTCACTGCAGTTGACCGCTGGTTACATCAGATGAAAAGTGCATTGAGATCAACCGTTGTTATGTTGAAAAGAAAATATGTTTCTGTAGGAATGTACAAAATTTCCTGTTGTAAAATACAAATTGTTGATTTTACAGAACAGGGGAACTTGCTTCTGGGACAGACCTCGTATAATATATTATGTGTGACAGGTATGGACAAGAAAATGTTGTCGTGTTTGAAAGGACGTATAATAATAATAATAATAAAAATAATAATAATAATAATATAATAATAATAATAATATAATAATAATAATAATGATGATAATAATAATAATGATAATAATAATAATAATAATAATAATAATAATAATATAATAATAATAATAATAATAATAATAATAATAATAATAATAATAATGATGATAATAATAATAATGATAATAATAATAATAATAATAATAATAATAATAATAATAATAATAATAATTATTATTATTATTATTATTATTATTATTATTATTATTATTATTATTATTATTATTATTATTTATAACTAGCTGTCCCCCCGCCCCTTTATCGATGAAAGGAATGATCGGTGCATTAACATCAACTGAAAGTCATTGGCCTACTTACTATATTTACACTCTACTCGAATGGAGCAATAAATATTGAGATATGCAAAAAAAAAAAAAAATTCATGAGGGCAAGCGAGGCAGGGGTAGGCCCAGAACAACATACTTAGGGAACCTAAACAAATGGGTAACAGGGAAAAATCAGGGAAACGTAGCTTTTCTGAGAGCATCCGAGCAAAGGAATGAATGGAAAATTATGATCGCCGGTGTCTGTCGCAGATCTGGCACTGGATGATGATGATGCAAACAATTAAAAGGTCTAGATGTATAGCCTCAAAACAAAATGCGCCGGGCGAAATATCACTTCTGGCACTTCCGTTGTGAAGGACAGCTGCTGCGCAGATGTGTTTCGTTTCTCAGTGGAATAATCACAAAGGCCAAAGAAGGACGGGAACTTTTTGTCAAATGTATTTTTCTAAATTCAGAAAATGAAGAAATAAAAAATCGGGCTTCGTCATGGGGACCTATCTATCTTTTGGCAGGTAGCCTACTTGCCAACTTTCAACTCTGTAGCTATCGTAGTTTTATGGGAAACGTTACACACATGTTTCCAAGATGCCAACTACTATAATAGATGATGTATCGTGATGTATGGTAGCGTCGGTGGCTTAGTGGTTAGGCTCTCGTACCCGCAACCGTTAGGTCGTGGGTTCGAATCCCGTCAGGGACCCGACGTTGTGTCCGTGGGAAAGGCACTTTACACGAATTTTCGTCACTTCACTCAGGTGGGAATGGGTACCTGGCTATAGACAGCGAAAGATCTTGTCAGTTTGTTAGCGTCTGAGCGCTTAATCAGCTGCTTGCACTATATGCTTCCTGGGAAGCTGAGAATGTTTCGGAGTGTTCTATGCTCTGCTGTGGTAATAATATAGTGTAAAGCGCATAGAGCCTGCTGTTGAGCGGGGATATGCGCTATACAAATGCTATCTATTATTATTATTATTATTATTATTATTATTATTATTATTATTATTATTATTATTATTATTGTTAAACCTGGCCATAGCGATAGGGAAGTCAACTCTGTCTAAATTTAGGTTTGGCACAACAAGGAATATAATAGAGCTCTACAAATCGTAGCGTTATCTCCGGAGACTATGGGCACACCCCACCTAATAATAATAATAATAATAATAATAATAATAATAATAATAATAATAATAATAATAATAATAATAATAATAATAATAATGATAATAATAATATAATAAT